GTCCTGCTGGGCAGGGTCTGGACTGGGAAGAGCTCAGCAGGAAACACCATCCTGGGCAGAGAGGAGTTTGACACCCGGAGACTGACGGAGGAGTGTGAGAAGAGGCAGGGCGAAGTGGCAGGCAGGCTGCTGACCGTGATCGACACGCCGGGCTGGTATTCCCTGCAGGACACGGCGGACTGGCTCAAGAAGGAAATTGTGCGCAGCGTGTCCCTGTGCCCTCCTGGGCCTCACTCTTTCCTCCTGACCATTCCCCTGGCCCCATTCACGGAGCAGGACCGGAGAGCCGTGGAGGAGCACCTGGGGCTTCTGGGAGACCGGGTCTGGAGACACACGCTAGTGCTGTTCACCTGGGGGGACGGCAAGGGGGGCACAGGCCTTGAGCAGGCAATAAAGAGAGGAGGGGAAGACCTCCAGCGGCTGGTGGAGAAATGTGGGAACAGGGTTCATGTTCTCCACAATAACAACACAGGCGACCGCGGTCAGGTCACAGAGCTCCTGGAGAAAATCGAGGCCTTGGTGGCCGGGAGCCCTGACGCGTTTTTCCTGGGGAGCGACGGAAGGATCACACAGGAGGAACAGGAGAAGAAGCAGAGGGATCAGGAAGGAGGGAGAGAAGAAGCATCAGAGGGCAATGAAAAAATAGCTGAAAGAGCACTGAAGGAAGAGACCCAGGAGAAAAAGCCCAAGCTGCCAGTGAGGAAGAAAAACAGCATTGAGCACCCGCTAAACTGTGAGTGTCTCTGATAATAATAACAATCATTACTATTACATCGCTTTCAATAATCCCAGTCCGGGTCATGGTGGCCCAGAGCCTATCCCTGGAAGCACTGAACCCTGGATGGGACGATCGTCCATCACAGGGCACACACAGACATATAATCACACCGGGGCCAGTTTCTCCAGATGACCACGAACCTATCAGGTTGTCTTTGGACTGTGAGAGAAAACAACATGAACCCAGAGAGAATCATACAAGCTCCACACACATAACACACCAGGAATTGAATCCAGGGCCCCAGTGCTGTAAGACAGCAGTGCTAACCTCTGTGCCACTCTTCTTATTATTCAGCTTGACATAGTAAACACATTTTATTACCTTCACTGTAGGAGCAGTACTGTAACGCTACAGGGTTCACGTGGGCACCCTCACCTACTGCCTGCACAGGTCGGCCCCCCACCGTCAGGGACTCGAACCCGGGCCTCCGGCATCACTCAACAGGGACCCAGCCCGGTGAGCTAAAGAGAGATCTCCTCTCAGCCCAGCGGCTGTGGTCCTGCTATTACAGGGAAGGGCGGTGACGTCACCGCTCTGGTAAGCCGGCTCTTACACACTCACCGGTGGCCGTGAGTGTTACAGTACTTTACTGGGTAGAAACTCCTCCTCTCCCTGTGTTTTTCCTGCTTTCTGAACCTGCTGAGCATGTCCACTCAGAGGTGGCAGCAGGAACTCACTACTGCTCACTACTGCTCTGGTTCTGTTCTGCAGTGTCCAGAAGCCAAGGAAGAGATCCAGTGGGAGAAAGGGAAGCTCCAGCAGAGACAGAAGAACTGAAGGATGGGATGGGAAATATTATGAAGGATCCAGAGCTGGAGAAAGAGAAAGAGGAAACCTGACTTCCTCTCAACAGGATGGACAGAAGTCACTGATCTTCCTACCTTTTCATCTGGAAATATGAGAACGTGCTTTTACACACGAGAGAGGCCATTTGGCCCATCAGACCTGTTTATTAGTTAGTAGTTAATTGTTCCCAGGATTATATCCCACTGTTTCTTGAAAGAAGCCAGAGAATGGACTTTGAGAGCAGGGATTGGCAGTTTGC